ACGGCATAGAGGACTGGGCGAACCGCCTTTTCCACTCTACGTTCTCCCATTCCAAAACTGACAATTCTAAGCAACCAACGACTAAGGAAAAAAGTTTGGCCATCCATTTGCGCTGATAGATTTGACTTTGTTCTTCCAGGATCCGCGATTGTGACTGTTACGTTAGTATCTAGATACGTTCCTTTGAGGATTTGGCAATATTTACTTAATCTGCATACCTTTCAATCTTTCCGCTAGTTCCTTAGCAAACATGGCAGCGGCAAGTTTACTTTGCTTATAAACTTCAAAGCCATCGTATTTCTTACGAGCTCTGCGTTTAGGTCGTTAAAATCCAAGTCGCATCTACGATGAGTTAAGGTTATGTACAAGAACATACTACATTAAAGTCACTTACTTTCTATTTATTATGTTTGTGTTGAGAAATACTATTCTAACACGGTGATCTTGAGCAAGTAGCTTTTCCAAAAGTAGACCAGTAAGTAAGAAAGAACCAAGGTGATTAGTCGCAAATGTGCGTTCGATGCCATCCTGGAGGTAGCAATAATTTACGTTGACGGAAGACCAAAAAAGCATGAAGAGAATTTAACAATAAAGAACGCCAGTAGGAACAACTAGCAAAGCTTGACTAAGGGTCGCGACTGATACAAATAGTGTTGTTGCACTAATTCTTATATACGGCGTCCTATGTAAGTAAACAGAGACCAGATTTTTAAAAAAATTTAATCAATTGGAAAGCAAGGTGCTGATTAGGAGAACAAATGACGAATCGAACAAGGTCATGTTGAGAAAGAAAAACAAATTATGTATTTTAAAGTCTAATAAAGTTTTTTGAAATGAGCAAGGCCCATAACACAAATGACAAAAAAAAATTTAACTTATACAAGGAGTTAAGCAGAAGAATAAGGGAAGAAAGGAGTCAAGAGCTACCAAGAAAATTTAATTGATGAAATCCAACTTCTTACCTTATTTACCTTTCTCTCTGCATCCATCATAGCCGCATTATGTACAACACCATCTATTCTATCCAATTCATATTTACCTAAGCAAGTGAAGATGTTTCCCAAAATCAAAAAAAAGAATCGAACCTACAAGATACCTTTGCTTGCCTTTTGAACGAAAGTTCGCACGCTGTCGAAGTCTTCAAGATCACATTGTCTGCAGTATACTTGTTTATTTCGCGTACTTAACACAATATCTCGTCGTACTTGAACGCATTTCTCACGATTTCTGAATTACTTTTGAATGAACAATGAAATCAGTATATATGAGAAACTATTAATATCTGACCTGCAGGCCATGATAACCCTTGCATTTCTCTTAGCTAGCTCTTCAACTGTAGCCTGAACAAAACAGTCTCGACTATATAGGCTAACTGTAAAACTTCCTACCTGCCCAATTCCCGAAGTAGCACCTGTAACAATGTACGTTTTACCAGCTAAGTCTTCACTGAGCTCATATTTAGCACCAGACTGGGTAGCACTGAATTATGATCTGCTAACTCAACACTTAAAGCTAAGGCGCTGTTTCGTTGCAAAAAATAGCAAATAAAAAGTTAGACACAACTCACTCCCATATGTGATATAATCCATAAGCAACTCCAAATCCAGAAAATCCAAGAGACCACGGAGATGTGAGACCTTTAATGAGGCGGCGAGCAGCCATCGCCGTTCTAAACAGTGAAAGCAAAATAACAAACTTTCTGCATTTGTCACATTCGCTCTCCAAGAAAATTTCCATAACTTTAGTTAACAGATTTCTCTTACCAGCGTTGTTTTCAAAGGTGGCAAAAACGACTTACAAATGCAAGACGCGCAAACTGGCAATCCCCACAAAGCCAATCCCCATAAATGATATTGTGTAGAAATTTGTGCCCCTCTTTGATCGTCACCATATATTCAATATCTCGTCTTTTTTTGCGATTTATTTCATAAGCAGATCGAAGAGCCACTTCGCGTCTTTCTCTTAT